AAATAAAATAAAATACAACAAAACTTTAAGTATAAATTAATGCTAAACAGGACTCAAAAAGTCATAATTCATCTTCCCTTCCTTTCTCTCATCTCTAAAATCCTCCTTTTCATCTAAAATCTTTTTTCTTAACCAATGGGAGCACCCACCTATATCTATATCTTGATGTTTCCGGCAGCCAACGAACTCAACTAGGTCCTGATCATCGAGAAATAAAACAGAAACACACTAATTGGTTCATATTAAAGTCAGATATGATTGTCAATTGCTTTAATTTTTTTTATGTCATGACAAACGCTAAACTTTTCTAATCATTCTTTTAATTGTTTCCATTCCAACCAAGTTTAAGATGGCTAACGTTGAGGACATGGATGCCACAATGATAGATGTGAATTTGAGTATATGTATTTTAAAATTTCTGTGTATTTTAATTTTTTTCATTTTACTTTTGCTTGTTTGAGTTTTTATCTTAATTGATAAATCCTTTCTCTATTTTTGCTTGTTTTTGTAAGAGTTACTTGCCTTTTGGTTATTTTTCATTAGTCATTTGAAATTAAATGCAGGATGAGAGTATGGCTTTTGATAATGTTGTACTTATTACAAAGCAAGACACTTAGAATGAAGAGAACTCAGAGAAGAATGGGTCAAAGGAGATTGAGAAAGGCAAAGAGAAAGAGTCAAAGGCAAAGGGAAAAGGAAAGGAAGTTCAAGTGGATATTGCTACTGGTAATGACCGATTAAGATCACAGGTATGGAATTATTTTAAAAAGTTTAAAGACAATGGAGGTAAAGACAAAGTTGAATGTGGTTATTGTAACAAAATTCTATGTGCTAGCTCTAGAAGTAATGGTACCTCCCCTTTGAGAAATCATTTAAGATCTTATAAGAAGAATCCTGATAATATGAAGAATCAGAAATTGCTTGGTATTAGTAAGTTTTATGTTTCTAGTGGTGGAGAGGGGTAAGCGGTCAAGTGACCACTTGGACATTTGTGAAGAGGCTTTTCTGTGAAATGATCATAAATGATGAGAACCCTTTTAGCGTGGTTGAGAAGTTAGGTTTTAAGAAATTCTGCAAAACTGCTCTACCCCTAAATTTCAAACTCCCTTGTAGGAAGACTATAACTAAGTTGTGTTATGTTATATATGTTCATGAGAGAGTTTAGCTTAAAAAGTATTTCAAAGAGTCTAAGCAAAGGGTTAGTTTAACCACTAATACCTAGACATCCGCCAAAGAATATTCTACATGAGTTTTATTGCCCACTTCATTGATAAGGATTGGAAATTGCATTAAAAAATTCTAAATTTTTATCTTGTTGACTCTCACAAAGGTGAAGAGTTAGGTGATTTACTTGAGTCTTGTTTGAGGGATTGGGGGATAGAGAATGTGTTTGCACTTACTATTGACAACGCATTTGTTAATCATGGTGCTATGAAGGTGGTTAAGGATGCATTGAACAAGTGGGGGAGTAGTGTTTTAGGCAAAGATGAGTTGCACATGAGGTTTGCAACTTACATTATCAATCTGGTTGTGCAAGATGGTACAAAATTGATGAATTCTTCAATCAATACTGTGAGAGGGCTGCTTTGAAATACATTAAGTGGAGCCTTCAAAGATTGAAAAGGTTTAAGGAAACTGCTGCGATTAAGAAAATTGATTCCAAGAAGTTGCTATCCATGGATACACCAACAAGGTGGAACTCTTTCTTTTTAATGCTTGAAACAATAGAAAAGTTTGAGTTGGCTTTTGAAAGGTTAGTTCTCAATTTGCTTTTCTCTTATTATTTTTTTCCCATTTAGTATAGTTTGTTAGTGTTCTATATTTAGTTCATCCATCTTGGTAGTATAATTTGTTTGTTTCCTAACTTTTGTACTTATTTTTCTTTTGAAAATATGCACGATTAGATCCAAGTATGAGAATTGAATTAAATTTAGGTCCAAATGCTCCAGGTTTCCCGTCTCGCATAGATTGGGAAAACATAAGGAGGCTTAACAAATTCTTGGAACCATTTTTTTTTTCTTAACAGAAAAAGTTTCTGGGTCTTTGTATACCACATGCAACTTGTATTTTCCGAAGATATGTGAAGTGCATTGCCTCTTGAACACTTGGGAAAAGATTGTGAAATTGTCCTCAATGGCAAGTAACATGAGAATCAAGTTCAACAAGTATTGGGATAACCCTTTGAAGATGAAGAACATCTTCATTGCTGTTATCTTGGATCCAAGGCATAAACTTGGTTTTGTTCAATTTCTGTTGGGAAGGATGTATGGAGAAGAATTAGGAAGGGTGTATGGTGAGATGGTGAAGAATGAATGCATCAAGCTGTTTGATGCATACAAAAGAATGTTGTGTGCTGAGATGGATTCAAAGAGGTAAATGTATTAGTTTGAGATTGATTTTTTAGTTTTATTACTTATGAACTAACACCTAATGTTTTTATCTTTTTCCATTTTTTTTTTATCTTTTTTCTTTTTTAAATTGATAGTGGATCCTAATCCTCTAGTCAACAATCAAGTCAGATTGTGGGTTGTGGCACAAGCAAAATTGTGGGGCCTAGCAAAAAGAAAGACCTCTTTGATGATTGAGTACTCCAAGTACAAATGGAAGTGAGAAGAGAGAAGTTAGAATTGGAAAGACACTTTCAAGAAGAAATTGAGCCATTAGTTGAGGACTTTGATGTGTTAAAATGGTGGAAGTTGCATAGCCCTAGGTTCCCAACTGTTGCTGCAATAGCTAAAGATGTCTTGGACGTGCCAATCTCTACAGTTGCTTCAGAATCTACATTTAGCACAGCAAGTAAAGTGCTTGATGCATTTAGAAGCTCCTTGCCACCAAGAATGATTCAAGCACTAATTTGCACACAAGATTGGCTAAGGTCTAAGTTAAAACAACTTATTGATTTAGAGGATGGGGATGAGTTGGGGAAACTTGAGAAAGGTAAAAGATGCTATAAGTTTACAATACTTTTCATTTCAATTTTTAGTTTGTTGAGTTGAGTAAGTATTAAGTTGAATTCACTTAAATGTTGGTAGATATGAAAAAGCTGCATCTTGTTGCAGCCATCATTGAGTGATGGTTTGTTTTATGGTAAATATTAAGTAAAATTCTATTGAGCTTTTTAAAGTTAGTAAAGTCAATTAATTCTATTGTAAATTTCTTTTAATGTTGTTTAAACTAACATATATATGGATTTGAATATGATCGTTTATGATAATGACATAAGTAATGCAACAAGCTAAAGGAGCCATGGTTTATAAGGATCTTCTTTTGTGCAATTTATAATCAATTTGACGCTCTATTGTTGTTTAGAAATATAGTGTAGTTTTTGTATAATATTTTGGATAGGATTACAAAGATGATGGCAACTTAACACTGGACATGCTTGGAATGATGCATCGACTTAATTATTCTTTTGATGGTGGTGGCTACATTCTAATTTCTACTTGGATATTTTGTTATGACCTTTGTTAACTTGATATAGTGTTTGGAAAAAAATTGGTTTTTTGTATGTAATGTCAAAGAATGTACTAATGTCAGATATATTAATGCTAGGTCTATATATCTTTTTTATAATCTCTATTTATTTTTATTTTGACAATATGTTATTAGTATGTAGCAATGTGGAGGGTGTGACTTTTGATTATTGACTTAAGGATATTAAATTGAAAAGTAAAAGTAAAGTAGCCATGGAAAGATCACATGTCAAAGCAAACGGAAAAAGGAAAAAAAAAATAGTGTTTAATATAATTAGATTTAAACTGAAACCGTTTTGCTAATGATCAATTAAAAAATTAACCAAATGATGTAAAACTGATAAATTTTAGTTCTATTAACGTTTTTTCACTTTAGATAACCAATATCTTAGTTAACTAATAAGTTGGTTTCAATCTAAACCAAAATTGATCGAGTCCCACCCTTAAGAAAAACTGACAAATCTATAACTAAGAACCAGTTTTTTGTTGATTATACTTAAATAATCAACAATTTTTTTGTTGATTATAAATGTTAATTGATTATGTAGTTATTTTTTGAAATAATCGATAACTTTTATAATTGATGGCCATTTTATCGATTATATGATTATAATTGATAGAATATTAGTTGGCAATTATACTTAATTGACAGCTATTGGCTATTAGTTATATAACAAACATAATTGACAAAAATGTTGTAAATTATACATTAAAATGATGTTGTTTTGATACTTGAAGGGGTACTATTATATAATTGACAGCTTTGGCTATTGCTTATGTCCCTTCCTCTATACACTTGACTTTTTCTTTCTTCCCCATATTTTCTTCTCTTTTTCTTGTTGATCTACTTTCTTCTCAGCGAGGTTAGCTATCATCGTTCCTGTTGGCCTGAGGAGTTGACCTGCACGTCACCTAATCCCTAAATCTTGTCATTAGTAACGGTAATTTTGAACTTTTTTTTGTCTATTTTGATTTTTTTTTTTTTTTGTTTTTCTTGGATTTACAGTTGTCCATCCCCATTTCTTCTTATAAATCTGTGCTCCATATTCAACCTCCATTGCTTCCATAGCACCGCGCGGACCAGAGAAGCTAACTCATTGCCGCCTTGCCTAGATTATGGGATTGCATCAACGGTTAGTTTTTGTATCCAATTTTTTCTTTTCCTTGGATTTGGATTTACAAGACCCTATCTTTTCTTCTCTTTTCAAATCCAAATCCAACCTCCATAGCCTCCACATCATCATGCCAACTAGAGACCCACTATCACCTCGCCATTGGATGATCAATTTATGCACTGAGAGTTTTTCTTTTTTCCCTTGGTTTTGCATTTACAATGCCTCATCTTTTGTTCTCTTTGTAAATTTGTGATCCAAATCCAGCCTCTATTGCATCATCACCCCCACTGCCATTAGTAATTGAGTTTTTTGTGACTTCTTTTTTTTTTTTTTTTTCAAAATTATATAAACATTGTTGATTGCTAGATGATTATATACCGTCTCATTTATAGATTAGTGTTGATTGTTATTACTATAGCGTGAGAAATTGAATTTTTAGTGAATTGATGTGGTATTCATGTTAAATTACTATATATAGAGTTATTTGTTTTAATTTATTGACTTTGAGCTTGAAATTGAAATTGAGATATATATAGTTATTAAAATAAAGTGACATTTATATTGAATTTTTATATATAAAATTATTTATTTCATATTATTGAAATTGAGATTGAAATATGTATGGCAATTGACCTATATGGTTATTAACATTTTGATTATTGAGATTAATATATTAATATATAATCTCAAATTGAAATTCAAATTAGGTAATTAAATGTTGGAGGATTATAGTTGGATAAATCGTTATGTAGATGATAATGGTTTTTGTTATTGATGAATTTAAAAAGGAGGTGTAATATTTTATTAGATTTGCATTTTCTAAACTAAATGCAAAATTAGAGATTAAGTGTTTTTGTTCGAAATATAAATGTAAAAAATGAGGAAACCTTGAAGTTGTCTCTGTGTGTCAATGTCAGCATGGGTTCATGAATAATTATTATACATAGTATGTTCATGGAGAGACATCTAACAATTAAGCAAGAAAGTTTATAGGAGAATCATCTAACATGGAGCTTATTAGAAATGAGGTAGATACAATGTATTGTGAAATGGTAGTTGATGCAATAGGTCCACATTCTGAGTATAATGAAAGCTAATGGTTAAAGAGCCAAATAATGAGGCAAGCAAATTTTATGAACTTTTGCTTGTCACGAAAGCCCATAAAGGTGTCAAGGACAGAATGTGATAGTTCTTTCATGGATAGCAAAAATAATAAACATGAAGACTCTTTATAATATGTATTGCTAATTGAGAGATGTCATTATCATTGGATCAAAAGTTGTTAAGTCCAAAGGACCAAGAAAAGGTGTCAAGAGATTTCTACAGTGCCAAAAAAATGATAAATGTGCTTGGACTTGAATACAAGAAAATTGATATTAGCATCAATATTGCCTTTTGTACCATGATGAACAAAGCAAGAGTTTAACCACTTGCCTAGTGTATGGAGAATCCCATTATGTGTCAAGGAAGATGGCCACTATGAGGTAAAAAGATGTTTTAAAGAAGTCTTTGTGGTACTTTCCAATTACCCAAAGGTTGTAGTGGTTATACATGTCTAAGAAAATAGCAAAGCACCTCACAAGGCATTTGAAATGCTATGAGGATTCTGATGAACTTATTAACCATGCAGCTAGTGAGATATGGAAGCACTTTGATGAAATCTACCTAACATTTGCCAAAGAAAGTAGATATGTTAGACTTGGATTGTGCACCGAGATGGTTTCAATCCATTTGTTGCCTTTGCATGGCCTTGCTCTTGTTAGCCTATCTTTCATCTAGTGTACAACCTTCCTCTTAACTTGTGCATGAAGTTGAAGCATATATTCCTTACATTGATAATTGTTGGACCTAAAAGTCTAAGAAAAAACATTGATGTCCTGTTTAGGCCATTTATTGACGAATTTAAGGAATTGTAGACAAATGGAATTTGAAGCAAACTACCAGAAAGTCCCTAAGTCTATTCATGTAGGTGCTAATGTGGTTATACCAGCCATAAAAATGCAAAAGGTAAGAACTATTCCAACCTAGAGATAAAAATCAATTAAAGCATTCTACTGAATCTTACAAATGTAAGAGGAAGCTCCCGATTCAATATATAATTTCTACAAAGTGCAAATAAAGAAAGCACTACCAATAATGAAATGCAGCACAACACATTATGATTCAGAATAAAGGGGGAAAATTAACACTAAAATAGTAAAATGTACAAAATCAACACTATGTTTCATCAACTAAGGATTCAAACATGAAAAGAAGATATCGATCCTAATTAAGAGAAGAGAGGAAAAGATGTCAATTCATCTGCAAGGAATTGAAAAAAACTCACCTATGAATCTTTCAAAATTCATGTGAGATTAAGAACACCTTCACACGCAAAGAATTGAACAGGCCACTCCCGCATTCCTTTATGAAAATTTGGCCTGTAAGTAGTTTGCAGCAACTAGTGGGGTATTGAAAAGGGTTGGATACCCATATTATAAAAAAGTATAACAACTTGACTGGCAAAAACTAAAAAAATATGAAAATGAGAAAATTAGTAAACAGTTAAAAAATATTCACTTGACTTATATAAGCAATTTCTGAAACAGGCAAATAAGGAACGAAGAGAAAACAAGCAAATTAGACATTAATTATATCCTCTCCAGATCACACTTCATTTGACTATAATTTATTATTGTAGTATGGTGGAGAGCTGTCTTGGTTGACGTGGGGAGCAAGAACAGCTAAAGCTTCAACCCATCTTCATCTTCACATCACCTAATTTAAATTTGCATTCTGCAACATACATTTACTAATTAATTTCCTTGTGTTTTCTCCATAATATATACCGAAGGAATTACTTTCCTTCTCATCTTTCAGCATTTTGTACATCATTAACCAATTCCCATTAGCATATATACACTACTTACACTTCCTCTGGGAGAAAATAAATGTCTATGGACTCCCTGGGGGCCAACCTGACACACAGTCCTCCGGCACCTGAAACTGAAGACAGAGATAAAGAAAACCATGTCTCTGACAAGGTCAAGGTCCGTTGGTTCTGTTTTGTCTAGATTTGGTCTTAAAACGATCCAGACGAAGCCTCCAAACTCAAATGGGCAGAGGACCTGATCCTGATCCAGAAAACCAATCAAGAAAGAGCTCGATTGTCCCAAAAGGATCATAAAACATGGGTTGGTTTTCATAGAAATTAATTTTGTATTTTTTTCCACTGTATGCTGTATGATTGTAAGTACTAACACGTTTTTCTTCTTTTTTTTTTTTTTTTTTTTTTTTTTTTTTTTTTTGGGTTGACAGGAAGATTACATGTGTAAAAATTTGAAATTACAACCGCTGGTACGGCGAAGGGACACCATGAAGTCCGCAATGGCCTGGAAGACAAAGAAGTTTGAAAATCTCCGAAGAGCTATGGAGAAGCTGAATCTCAAGAAACATGGATATCAAAAAAGAGAAGCCATTGTTTCCAGTTCTTCGGTAGAAAGAAATGTTCATGTAAGGTTTATAAACTTTGCCTTCCTTTACAAACATTTTTACAATAGTAGATTTTTTTTTTTTTTTGGTATATAAAGACTAAGGACAACTCCATTGCTAGACTACATGGCTGATGATCATAATAGTAGATAGACTAACCAATTAAAGCTACTTTGCACCCCATTAAATTTTTAGTTTCCCCTCCATTAAAGTTCATTTTTATAATTTAATCTGCTCTCAATTAAGAAAAATCATGCACACATCTCTAGCTAGCCCTCCTTGCCTCTCAAACATCCTGAGTTTTAATTTTAAGACCTCTAATTTAGAAGTTGTGTGCCGATCAAATCATTAGGACATCTTACATTGGGGATGATAGATGTATCTTGTTTGATCCTTTTTTACAATTAAAATGGATGCAGGGCATGCTTTATTGGATGCTGCATGGGAAAAACAATTTGGCTACAGAGAAAAAACTCCTAAGAGAGATCAACAGAACCCAAAAGAGTGAGAGTTTGGATTCGAGTTTGCCGTGTAATCACGGCAATCGTTATTGTAAGTTCAAAATCAGATATCACTAAAGTTAAATTCAAAGATCATGTTTCAGACTTCAGTTTTAATCTCTGTTAAGCTTTTTATGGTGGACAGGGAATAAATGGATATTGTACGACCTAATTAAAAACAGTGACAAGCCAATATATAAGCAGATTCACGAAGAGATGAAACAGCTTGAAGAAAGAAATGAGAAAGCTAAGGCTAATGAAACAGACTTGTCTTTTTATGCCTCATCATCATCCTATTACGAGGGGAACAATAGCCTTATGCTCGTAGGTTGCCCTCTACTTGTGTATGCAGTGATTTAGGCTAGAATTGTAGCACTCTAGTCTGGCTTATCTAAAATGGAAAAAACATTCTAGCGAGGTTTAAGTTTCAACATTGGACTATCTAAGTTTCCAAAAGTGCACTTCAACAAATGCACTTAATAATTCTTCAATAGAACCAGCGGTAAATAACATAAGCAACAAAAATAAGTACCTCCATATCAGAAACTGACAATAGCCAAGAACATATAACATGCACAACCATAATCAATGCCAGAAACCAAAAAAATTCAAAATTCAACATAATAAGCAAATCCATTCACCAACACAGCAATGCAAAGCAGACGCAGACCACCAAAAATTCTAGGGCACCATCATTAATACCAGCCCACATTCCCCTGAATCACCAAAAATTCTATACTCCTATGTCATTAGCTAATTGTAGAATTAAATTATCATCATCAAATAAATTTAAAAGAACTAAATATGAAGTAAGTATAATTGTTAATTAATAATCTCTCCAGGGTTATATTCTACTTGCAATTATATAATAAGTCAGATAATGGGATTTTGATTTCCTCCTTTTTGTCTGCCTTCTTGGTTTTGATTAAAGTTATCAGTCAACAATTTTGTGAGACATTTTTGTTTAACTAGAACATTCAACATCATCAAGTAAACCGAAAAAATTTGTGCCCAGCTGCATATCATTATCTGGTATAAAGTTTAAACAAGTAACAAAAATCTTGCTGCTTCAATTGTTGTTAAAATCAACACAGGTCTCATACTTCCAGTGATAAAAAATACCATATAGCATGTGCAGCGCACATCAATGACCAAGAAAACATAGTCAATTAGTAAAAAGTGACTCACAAGGAGGATGCTTGCCACTCGAGTGTTTCACCTGCAAACATAGGAATGATATTACCAAATGAAAATGAATAAGAGTCTGGAACCTTCCACGAAGTCTTAACCAATTTAATCTTTGAAGAGTTCCTTGGAAGACCATAGAAGTCTGGACCGTTGAGGCTTGTAAATGCCTCTAGTTTGTCAAGTGCACCTGCCTAAAATAAGCAGACAACTTTTTAGCAAAGAAGCACTTCATATGACTAATGGAAAATAGCAGCTTAGGCTAGGTGTAAAGTGAAACTAATGAATCCAATTATGCAATTAATCACAAGAAAAGTAAACCATAGAACATGCTTTACTAAGAAATATAAAGTAACACCATGCTCTAATTTTTTAATACACCATCAGCAGGCCATGCCTTGTCTGGCTTATTACATGCAGTCATACACACACCTAGTTCTACACGTGTGGGGGAGGGAGTAGCTAGGGAGAGAGTCCGAGGTATTCTCTTTAAAATTTTGCAATTATTTTCTAAGTTTACATTATTGGTGATTATATTGTAAATTGACTAAAAGAATTCAAAAAACAAGCCACTGAAGCAGTTTAAACTGAGCTCTGACTAGTTAAATTGAGTCAAAGGAAGCAATATACACATGGGTAGAAAGTAAAAACCTAGGCTTAACTCTGCTTTAGTCCAATTACAACACCAAATCAGCTCCTATAAATTAATCCTAAATTTAGCTTCCTTTGGTGGTCAAACATTATGACAAATGTATCATTCCCATTTTAAGAGCAAATATCAAATAACTTTTATTGACCAATGATCACTCATCTAATTTTCAATATTCAATGTAGCTTTACACGAAACAGAAACAAGAAAGCTATTATTAGATAATGAGAAATAATTATATATACCTCTTCAAAGACCTTTGCATACAGAGATAAGGCAACTGGGGCATTATAAATGCCAGCACAACCACAAGGGCATTCTTTTCTTCGTTTCTCATGGGGAGCACTATCAGTTCCAAGGAAAAATCTTTTACTTCCACTGGTCACGGCTGAAACAATAGCCTGTCCTAGATAAAAGAACAATGTACAAGATTGAGGACAATAGAAAATGAAAAAATATCTATATATAAAAATCATAAACAAGGAATGATGCTTCTTCCAAACTCCAAAGTCTAGTTGCTGAAGAGTTATTCAATCATTTAACATCTAGTCTTTGTTGCACCATTATCGAGAAGAAGCATCTTGGAATTCATATTTCTCAACAACATCATGTCTCTTAAAATTTAAACAGAAAAAATGAAAACCAACAGTCTCCATGGGGAAGCAATTCATAATTGTAACTGCATGGATGAAAATAAATGAAACATACTGTGGATTTCTCTTTTAAGAACTGGAAGGCAGTAGTTGTGTGGTTGCAGTCCTCCTTGGAAAAGAGCATTTCTATTGAGAAGAAGATGCTGTGGAGTAACAGTTGCGGCTACAAATCCTGAGAAAATGAAATAGTGAGAATAAATGGAGGAAAGGAAAGAAAGTTAAAAGACTAAAGAAAAATCCAGAAAAATAGAAAGTGAGTCAATGGTAAACTCCTCGAAAGGCTATTAAACATACCTTCTTCACAAGACTCCACAAACCTAACAGCATCCATAGTAGTAATATGCTCCATCACAACTTTTAGCTTTGGAAGCTTTTGGGTTAAAGGTCGCAAAACAGTGTCGATGAAGACTTTCTCATGATCAAAGACATCAACATTAGGATCTGTAACCTCTCCATGAACCTACTATTGAAATGGGAAAAATAAACATCATACAAAGAATGTAGTCATCACATAGAGGCAGCTAAATAACTAACAAAGAATACAAACATAATTTATAAATGCTCTACTAAAAGAAATCAGTGCTGCATGTAGCACTTCACTAGTATTAATCTGAAGCAAAAGCATCCATCTCTGGTTCCCCAAAGAGCACAAATGTCATGCAAAACAAAGTTAAGTTAATCAACACTGTTTTTGACATTTGACATTTCCACATTCTGTAGGGAGACAGTAACACCCTTGCAAAAAATTTTAAGCTATGATGGGAAATTCCATGATAGATCACAGGCATATGAGACACTAAGAAGGCTGTCTTTGTTTAAACTTTATGCTTCCAACATATGTTATATACTTATAACTTACAACTATGGAATTTCCCCAAGCCTCAAGAGCCTATAAGAGAATAATAAAATTACCAGCAAAGGCATGTTCTGCTCAACCATTTCCTCAAGGACAGGCAGACATTTTCCAAATAGGTCTGTGACACCATCTTGAGAATTAGTGGTGGCACCAGCAGGGTACAACTTAACAGCAAAAATAACTCCACTTCTTCCTGTCAACAGAACAATCATTGTCATCAAAACTACAAATTTGATGCTAAAGAAACATGATTGCGAGAAAAAGAAAACAGGATTCTATTGTTTGCTTTATAATTCTTTGTATTTGATTTATCATTCTTGAGAATTAACTAACAACTCATAATTGGTAGATGCAGTATCGTACTAGAATTCTATGCACTAAAGAAAACTAGTTCAAAGGGATCATATTAATCTACATTAAAAAAGAGCCAAGAGAAATATAAAATATTGCATCAAAAGAAAACAAGGTAATAAATTAGACTCACTTGCAAGCTTGATCTCGTCAGGACTAGTCGTATCTGTTAAATACAGTGTCATTAGTGGATTGAAGCTGCTGCCCGCAGGCACTGCTTTCAAAATGGATTCTCCGTAAGCAACAGCAGCAGCAGTGGTTGTAACTGGAGGTTTCAAATTTGGCATCACGATTGCCCTCCCAAAGTGGTTTGCACTGTCGTTATATCACTGATTAGACCTTTTTCTTTTTTGACAAAAAAAGAAAAAAAAAGAAAAAAGAAAAAAAAAGGAAAATCACAATCATCGGAAATGAAACAACATTGTTCCGAAAGAAAAAAAACCTGTGATATACAACAGCTTGAAGAAGTTCGCCTTCGCGCAGATGAAGATGCCAATCATCAGGTTGAACCAGAGTTAGCTCCATCCTTGTTGCCTTGCACTTCAACTGCCTAGACCCCTGTATTTTTGCGGACGGGAACTTCAATGCCTATGATGCAGTCAACAAAAAAGCATCAAATAAAACAAAAACAAAAATGTCGAGTCGTGAATTCGAAGAACAGCCCAAGCAATAAGCTATGTAAGTTCAAAGTTCTTAAGATACAGAATCTAAGGTAGATACGAAGATTGCACATACTTTGCAGGACAAAACCAAAGTCTTTAACATTCTAAATCACCACAAGAAAACCTAAAGCTCCTTTGAAATTTTTCTGTTCAAATCGAAGCAGCCAAATTAGATCAAACTAACATTCAAATCTCTCTATGGCCAAAGAAAAAAAAACTTCAAATCCTTCCGAAATTGTATATCAACTCAACATTCTGTTTATGAAAAATTACTTCATAGAAATGAGAACAAATGACTAAGATACAGTACCGGCGGCAAGACTCCGATTTATTTCCGATATACCAATGAGGCGGGATACAGGGAGGTTTGCTCAAACTCAAACCTCAAAGTGACCCTTTCTCGGTCCTCGGCAGATTTGAGGATTCAGTTCACGACCGGGTCGGGTTCTATGTTGAATAGGCTTAACTTGAAAGAGGCCACTCGGAGGAGGGGAACCGTTTAGATTCTCCTGGATTCAGGCCATGGGCCGGTACTTTTCTTTTGGGTTATTCATAGATCCAATATAAACTTGAGGCAAATTAAACTCTTTTTAAGACACACTAAAATTAACTCATTATAAGAATAGTGATGTAGAGGTTTTTTTTTTAATAATATTTTTAATAATTTTTATATAGTATTAAATGAATAAATATATTTAATATCATATATCTCAAATAAAAAAATTAATTATTTAAATATTATGTAAAATTATATAAAAAAATTATATTTGAATTATATTTTAAATTATAAATATTTATAAAAAAGGCAAAAAAGAAATTATAAATGGAACAAATCCCTTGGGCCTTTTAGGCCTCTTGCGTTATTCCAAACCTAACTCCTATAATTGGAAGAATAATTCATTGGAAAAGAAAATAAAATAGAATAAAATTATATAGTTATTTAATCAAATTTATTTCATGATTAATAAATCACAATATTTTAATTTAAATTACTTGTAAATAATAATATTGTTGCGAGTATTATATTTTTATTTTATAATTGTGCTGTGCAATTCCAACTCCAAACTCTATTAGATGATGATGAGAATGGGTCTAAGTGTCCCCTCACTCAATGATTTTGATTTTACAACTCAATGTGAACTCTTTATATTATTACGATTAAACCCTTTTATCCTTGTTGCTGTCAAATAAGTTCAAAAGTTTTAGTGCCCATCCCACTCTCATTATCTAGCAGGATTGCGAGTTTGAATTGCACAACATTTATGAAATAAAAAAAATAAGATTTAATTGTTCCTCACAAAGTCACAATCACAAAGTTTTTGATAAGTACAAACTCCTTTTATTGTTACCTGATTAAACCCTTTTATTCATATTGATGTCAAATAAGTTCAAAACTTTAAATATAAATATATGAGCTTGGTGTTTTGTAATTTAAGGTGATTTATGCCTCTATGGAAAGTAAATTTACTGGTGTAGTAGAAGTATAAATAGCATGTCACTCCTAGGTACTCATAGTTTTATAATAACATTTTATAAATCTGCACTACTTATAAAGTCATCTAAGTCAAGAGTTATCTAAGTCAAGACACTCTCTTAGGATACCATAGTTTTATAATAACACTTTATAAATTTGTACTATTCATAGAGTCATTTAATTCAAGACACCTCTTTTTGCTTAAGAATATTTAAAAAATAAAGTAGGATAAGAAACTAGAAAAATGTGGAGGAACACTCTATTCTTGAAAAAAGTAACGTGTCCTATTTATAGAATTCTTGGTCTTGTAACTCCTATTTCTTTTCTTTTTTGATTTTGGGTGGCACAATAAGAGGCAATTCCCTTTTTTCTCTAAATCTCACCCCACCTGTATGTAATTTGGTTAGAACTCAAAATCTCTTACTTTCACAAAAAAGGGATTACTATTAAATTATTTAAATTGTTGGCTGTAACTCTTATTTCTAGATTAATTATAGAAATAAATTGAGTAGTTATCATGAATAATGTGCCCTTAAATATGAAAATTAATCTAAAATGATTAGTTTTACAAAATTCTTAATAAAATAATAAATTTAGTTTATAAAACATATTTTTTTTATTTTTTTATTAAAGTACTTAAATTCTAACATTTTTTTCTAGTCTTGTAAATATGTAATCTTAGATCAATCAAATTTTAATGAAACACAAATCTAATTTTAGAGCCAAGCACGATTAATGGTTAACTGAATTTTTTAACTAAATTTTTTGTTTTAGACTTTTCCTTTTTCAATGAGTTTGTTATAGATGTTTTAAAGGTTAAATGCTAATTTTGGTCCCTCAACTTTATAGTGTTGCATAATTTTTGTCCCTCAATTATTTTTTGCACCTTTTTTTATCCTTTAACTTTAAAAATGCATTGTTTTAGTCCTTTTGTTAGCTAGGGCCATTAACTCGATCTACATGGCATTTTTAAAACTTTTTCTAATGACATGGAGAATACAACTTAAAAAGGATGCTAATATGGACAAAACTTTATGCCATGTCATATTTCCACAAATCAAACCCAACAAAAGGCTCCTTAAATGGGTCCCACATTGCCTATAAAGATTTAATAAAGGGATAAATATCTATAAACCTTAGAATGCTCTCTTATCTCCACTTAATCTGCCTTTTCCCCCTTTTTGCTCCAGTTGAGGTTGAACACAACAAAATTTGGGTTTGTCAAACCGATCGAACGTAGTAAATTTGGGTCATTGAACCTAGTTGTGGGTTTAGTGGAACCCACTTGCTGTGTTATTGATCCTAGCTATTGGGTTTCGTTGAACCCATTTGCTAAGTTCCATCAGACCTAGCAAATCTCATCAAATCAAATTAATCTCTTAATAAAAATTGTCAATCAAATCTTAATCAAATTCAACACAAATACAATTAAATTGTAAATCAACTCCCAAATTTTGAAAAAACCTATTAAGAATTGGGAATGGAAAATAAAGAAGAACAAAAAGCCTTATGAGCTTAACAAATAGAGGAAGGCTTCAACAAAACCAAGCTTGGGTTCAATGGAACCCAGATTAGCTGGGTCTACTGAACCCAATAGTTGGGCTCGATGGAACCCAAATCAGCTTGTGCAACACTATAAAGTTGAAGGACCAAAATTAACATTTAACCTTTTTTAAAATACTCTAATAAACTTATGATATATCTAGTTGATACTTTTTTACCTGTATAAGATATAAGGTTGAGTTTTTACTTATCGTATATTTAGGTTGAGAAAAATGGAAGAGAAGGCAGGGAAAAATTTTTAGACTAATTAAATTATAATATTTTAAAAAACATTATAATTTAATTGGTTAAAGAACTTTTCTCCCGTTCCCTCTTCTCCTTTCCCCTCCCTTCTCCTCAACCCAAACATACTATTATTTTAAGTAAAACTCTAATCATATCACTTAAAAATAATTTTCCCCTAAAAAAAACTAAAACACCAGTCAAACTTGAGCCATCGGTTATGGTTTCATTCAGACAATTTTCAATTGTAGTCAATATTGCCAACCCCTATCTAATTGGATAATATATATGGAAAATTGTTGGTATATTCTTTTGCTTTAATGCACTCATCAACACTCACCATTTTAGCTATTAAACTTTACAGCTTTCAATTTTCTCACCTTTAATTCAAATTTGGAAATAATAATTTCTTAGTAAATGTATTGTGGAGTGTTCTAAATTGGAGGATATATCAATTATTGTCTTATTTATGAATATAAACATAAATATATATATTCATTATATAGATATATGAATTAGGATCTACTTACGCGTAAGTCTTACATACTACATTTACATAACATCTTAACAATTCATCTCTTTTTTTAGAAAAAGGTAAGTTTTTCCATTGAACATTAAATGACATATACACTTTTACTCCTAGGCATACATGGGGAAATGCACTTCTCAAAACTTTAACCTCAAAAAACCAATTATCTCATTATATACATCCCTTTTAGTCAAAAACTTTCTAAGAAATATTCTGCTATTCCTTTTTTGCCAAATCATGTATAAAGTGGTAGCTAAAGCAGTCTTCAACTTCTGTGGTTGAGCTAAACGACCTTTACATGCCTTCCTTAGCCAAAGCCATTCAACACTCCATCTTTTGGGTTGTCTTTGGATATTCAAAAAGTCCAAAACTAACCTCCACACTTCTTTAGCAAAACTACAATCAAAGAACAAGTGCTCACAAGTTTCTTCATATCTACAACACAAATAGCACCCTTTCTCAATTCTCATACCTCTATTTGTTAGCAGAACTCTAGTCTTTAGCCTACCTCGCAACACCAGCCAAAAAATGAAGCTATGGCGTGGGAAAATGCACCCTGCCCAGACCATAGTATGCCATTCCACCATAGGGTGTTTCACTCTTAAAAACTCATAACAACTTGAGATAATAAACAAACCATTCTTTACAAGTTTCCACACAGCTTTCTCAGCTTGTTGAGATAGTTTTTGACACCAAATAATCTGGACAAGCATGGGATGTCTTCTCATGAAACTAGCTGAAATAGTCCAATCCAACCCATCCCACCACTGACTAACTATAAGGCCATGGCCCCAAACAGTAATTTCATCCTTAAAGAGTAACTCACAGAACCTTACCTCACATGCCCACCAATCATAGAATAAAGAAACCTGTCGTCCATCTCCCACTTGCATCCAAATGGCATTTTTCAATAGAGGATGAAGCTTTAACACCTACCTCCAAGTCTAAGCACAATCCGTAGGGATTTCGGCCTTCAAAAAATTTTTCGCTCTTAAAAGTACTACCTACACCCACCTAACCCATAGCGACTCTTGTTGCTAGCATATATTCTAGACCAAATTTCCTAATGTTGCCTTATTCTAGTGTAGCAATTGCTTCACCCTTAGTCCCCCTTCTTTCTTTGGCACACATACATCACCCCACGCTACAAGGGACATAGCATTATAATCCCATTTACCACATCAAATAAAGTTTCTTCAAACAGAATTAATTAACTTTAACACATTCTTAGGAATAAATAAAGCACCACTCCAAAAAACTTGAATGTCAAATAATATAAAGTTAACTAATTGCACTCTACCTGTATATGATAGAAATTTCGTTGCCTAGGAGCCAATTTTTTGATGAATCCTATCAATAACAGGCTGACACGCCTCGGGAGAAAGCTTTTTGGAAACCAAAGGCAACCCCAAATATGTAACTGGAAGCTATCCCTCAACAAAATCCAGCTTCTGAATTAAAGTAGCTTTTTGCCCTTCACTAACTTCGCTAAAGAAAATTTGACTCTTCATTTTGTTCACTTCCAAGCCAAAGACTTGGGAAATTTCTTCAAACATTTGCATCATCAATATAGTGGACTCCTTATCAGCCTTACAAAAAAACATAATGTCATCTGCAAAGATCAAGTGGGTAAGTTTCATAGTTTGGCACTTACTATGATATTTAAACTTCTCTTGCAACTCTAGCTCCTTCAATGTCCTAGTAAGATACTCCATTACTAGCACCAATAGATAAGGTGAGACTGGATCACCCTATCAAAGTTCTCTCTGACCTAGAAAATAAGCCTTTATAGAAAATCTAGTGGGAGAGACACAAAGCATAATCCAGCGAACAAATTCATCAGGAAAATTTAGCCCTCTTAAAATAGCCTCAACAAAACCCCAATGAACTGAATCATATGCTTTTCGTAAATCAATCTTCATTAAACATCTAGCAAGCCCTCCATTCCTATGATAATTCCTCACCAAATCTTGGCAAATCAATAAGTTAGTCATTATAGATCTACCTTTCACAAATGCAACTTGATTACAACTAACTAGCATGCTCAACATTTCATTAGCCCTTTAAGTTAAAAGTTTCGATATTACCTTGTAAATTACATTGTAGCAAGCTTTAGGCCTATAATCACTGATAGAATTTGGGCAACTTACCTTTGGAACAATAGTAATATTGGTGGCATTAATTTCCTTGAAGAGCTTCCCACTATCAAAGAAATCTAGCGCAATAGTAGTGACATCATTTTTAATTATTGACCAAGCCGCTTTGTAAAATCTGAAGTAAATCCATTTGGCCCTGGTGACTTGTTAGAAGGAATTGAAAATAGGGTAGCCTCCACATCCCCAGTAGTGAATGGCCTGTATAACTCTTCAGTAGTTAACACTCTGCCCTGGTGAATAACATTCATATCAGTTGCTTGAATACCTTCTTTTGCCTTTCCAAAAAAGTTTGGATAGAACATTATAAACTCTTGTTCTATAAGCTCTGGCTAAGTTACTCTAACACCCTCACAATTCATGATGGAGCTAATAACACCTCTATGCTACCTCTTCTTAACGTTAGCATGAAAATAACTAGAATTTGAGTCCATCTCCTTTAACCAAGTTACCTTAGCTCGTTGGGTAATTAAAGATAGATTAGATTGCTCAAGCTTAGTTAATTCATGTTGGAGATCCCTTTCCTTTAAAGCCAAGGTATCATCAAATAAGGCATTTTGCATATGAGCTTGAACATTTTGTAGCTCAATAGCTGTGCCTTTAATTCTTCCCTCCAAATTTCCATATCTATTTTTATGCAACTGCTTCATTTTTTGTTTTACCAATTTCAATTTCTGCACTACAACAAACATAGGATATCCTCGAATGTTTGAACTCCAAGCTTCACTAACCAAGTCTAGGAATCTTTCATCCTTAGACTAGGCATTGTAGAACCTAAATGGTTTTGGCTTATCATTCATCAATAAATCCATTGTAACTACAAAAGGTGAGTGACAAGAGGATTGTGGATTTAAAAAAACCATTGAAGTATTAGGAAATGCACTAACCCATGCTGAATTAGCCATTACCCTACCTAGCTTGCACTACAACCTGTCATTCTCCCTTTGCTTATTACACCAAGGGAAAAAAGCACTAGAAAATTACAAGTCAAGGACCTTCATTCTACCCATGAAATGCTGAAGCTCAGAAGAATCTCCCCAAAAAACCCCACTAAGCTTCACCTTTTCACCACAATGCAAAGTTGTATTAAAGTCCCCAGAAATTATCCATGGCACATTAACAACGTCCAAAGCTCTAAACTATTCCCATAATATAACTCTACCATCAAATGAGTTAAAAGCATAAACAATAAAGTATAAAAATCTAACATCCCCAACTGCAGAGCACATTTCAACATGCATCAATTGGTCTGTTTGTAGTACTTTAGTCACCCTCAGTTCTGCTTTATTCCATAAGATCCAAATTCTACCATTATAATGAGATTTATAATTATTGAACCAACCTCATTGACTACCAAACATTTGCACAACTCCACTACTATCCTCTTTCTTTACTCTAGTTTCTAATAAAGCAATAAACTGAACTTTATTTGAATGCATAAACTTCTTAACAAGACAAGGGTCATTCAAACCCCTCACATTCCATGTAGAAAGATATATCATGATAGAGTTCCACTTATAGGAGATGCTCCACCTGTTGCATTTTGCGTCATCTCTTTATCACTAGTGCTAGTACCAGTCTCATTCTATAGATTCCCTTGTCTTAGAACTCCCACTCCTAGTTGTACTAGACATTTCTCATTGCTTCCTACTATCATCTTACCAGCAACATGTATGAGTGTACTCTGCTTCATATTTGATGAATTAGCACCAGTTTGCACTTCACCCCTTTGTAGTTCATCATTCTCCACAAGATGCTTTGAGCCAACCACTTGTTTGACCACATGCTCCATTATAGGTTTTTAAGGAACCCACACCTTTTTTTCCTTAGCTTTACAATTCCTCTCTTCATGCCAAGATTCCTACATTTACCACATCTCGTGGGCTCCCACTCAAAAACCACAGGTTGTTGAAACACACCCTTAGGGCCAACAACAGGCACTACACGGGGTGGAGTGTCCATAATTTTCGTCTCTACTAGCATACGAGCATAAGCCACTCTTTGCTTCTTAACTGTCAAAGCATCAGTTGTAATAGGAATTCCCACATAACTTGCTAGCTTTCCTAAACTCTCAAGATTCTAAAGGCTCAAATGGAGGGCAGGAAATTGAATCTAGACAAGAATCTTACTGATATCCAAATTATCCAGGTCAAAATCTAGAGTCCATTGTTTCAGAATTAGAGGGTCTCCATTAAATGTCCATCGCTTCTCCAACGTTGCTTGCTTTGCATCTCCATTAGCAAAATCAAACAAGAAAACTCCATTTCTCAACAAAAATGCCTTTGGCACTTGGAATTCCTTCCACCTATTGTTCACAAAATTAGCCATATCCTTAAAAGTAGGTCTAAGACCCAGAACATACCCAACAAGAGCATTCTCCCATATTTTAGACCCTTTAACCCACTCATCTTTAGTAATAACCATAACACCAATTGGATTATGAGGTTTCACACATTGCAAATCCCATCCCTTCCTGATGCCTCTATTACCTTCAACAACAGAAGCCCAACTACGCAATGGCTTCTGCTTAAGAGATGGTTGAAAATCCTCTTTCTCTTTTTCAATCACACCAATCGAACGAGCACTAGGAGAAATTGCAATACCAGATGAGCTAGCTCCCAAATCCCCAGAAGAATGCTTCATATGGATGATAGAAGGCTAGTCTCTGAGCTTATTTCTTTCTTCCCCTTATCCACTTTCTCACTCGTGGAAACAACATCACTCTTCTTCAAATCTTGCACCAAGGAGTACTGATTCACAATCTCGCTAACTAGCCCACTAGTTGCTAGCTTTAGTAAAGTCCCCTTAGAATCCCCTTTTGTATCCTCTAAATTTGGGTGCATTTGCCTTAATTCCTCAACCTCAAAACCCATTTGATTAAGATCTCGAGCAACAAGCTTCATGGCCTCAGCTTGCTCTTTGATGGTCTCTGCAATTGCAATACTCTTTCACCCCCCATTATCAACTTTCAAACCAATCGTCTTCTTGGACGCACCACCCTTAGGTGGAGGATCCTTCTTTTTCTGTCGGCCTCTACCACCCATCTCCGGCGTTTGCAGCTAAACCACCATGCTTGTGTACAATAACAGAGAACTCTTATCGAGCGCCTAGAAAGTGTTTCAAAGAAAGCAGCGTAAACTCAATTCATCTCTTTACTTTTAATGTTTGAGATTTATCACGATTTTTTAGATAAAAAAAAAGATAATTATTTTTAATAAATATGATAAAAGTTAGTAAATTTCAACCATTAAAAATAGAGAAATGAATGGTGTCAAAATTTTTTTGTAAGTGTGATGTATAAGATTTCTATATAAATAGATCCTAACTCCCTCTCTCTCTCTCTATAGATATATAATTAGGATCCATTTATATACAAATCTTACACATCACAATTACAAAAAATCTAGACAATTCATTTCTCCATTTTTAATAATTGTTCATTCAAAAGGCTGGTTGCATGGACTTCACAACTTGATATATATATATATATATATTAATGATCTATTTACACATAAATCTTATATACCACATTTATACAAAATTTAAATTATTCATTTCTCCACTTTTAATATAGGAGATTTATTCACATTTATTAAAAATAATTACATTTTTATCTAAAAAGTTACAATACAAACAAAGAGAGAAGTAATTAAAATTTTATATAAATATAGTATTTAAAATTTATATGTAAATAAATTTCTATTCATGTATATATATGAATGGATAATATATAAAGGAATATCTTAAGTAAACAAGAGAAAATTTGATCCAGTTTGTGAACTCAATTCAATTTACTTAGTTAAAATGGGTTGTGGGTAAGAATTCTTGAGCTGCAAGCATCTTTAATTTTGGGTAGACATGAGAAAAATTGACCTAGTCGACGAACTCAGTTCAATTTACTCATTTAAAATGGTTGTGGGTAAGAATTCTTGAGCTACAAGCATCTTTAATTTTGTTCTACCCAATTGACCTTTGATTTGTATAGGTGGAGTCGTAGCCTACAAAATTGTGAAAATAGATGGCCCATTTGTTTTCTTTAACTTGCAACTCGTTTGACTTCACTTGTTTGATTTGTGACTTACAATAATCTAGTTACATTCTAATTGATCCATTATTTTTCATATTTAGTTTTAAGTGAGAGAAATCTCACATCAAAAGTATAATAAGAAGATCATGTGTGAAATAAGTAGGTTATGTTAACTTCTCTAATTTGCAAATTCATTTGACCTAGGCGGTATAATCTGTGACCAATAATTAAAAAACCAACCTAATCCATCCACCCCATTTGCCCTGTCTAAAGAGGGGTCTAGTTTGTGGAAGGTTTTCCTCTATTGAGAAAATTGAAGCACTTTATATGTTTTTTTTTTCTTTAAAAAAAAAAACATGGACACCAAATCTTTAAACTTAATTAGACTTATGGACATGTTTAAACGGGTGTGATTATGGACACGCATTATTTTGTTAAGATTGCATTAAAATTGTTTAGTTTCACTAATATTTTATTAGATTGTAATTTTTTTCTTAGATAGTTAGTTATGATAACTTAAAGTTTATACATTGATTTCAATCTGTTAAACAATAAATATCAATTATTTTATTAGGAGGATGATGTAGGGTATGTCGTCCTTTCAAGAAAATTTTTTGGAGGACCTCTCTAAAAGTTCACATTTTAATTTTTTAAAAACTTAACTATTGGATTGAAGGTTTTATTCATTTCATATAAATTATGCATATCAATTTTCATATTAATCTAACACTTATAACTCTTTGATAAATGAAACTATATTTATTAGCATATATTTAATGATAAATTTTTTGTAATCAATGAAGTGGTTAAATATATTAGAACAATTTGAAAATTAAAATATATGATTTATATAAATAGAATTTTTAATCTAACTATTAATTTTTGAAAATATTAATTAAAAAATGAGTTTTTAATTAGATTCTCTAAAAAAATTTAGGAAGATGACTTGTAAAATAATTTTTCCATTTATTAGTTATTAATTATTTTTAATAGTTAAATTAAATAAAATTATGTGAACTTAAACAAAATGATGGATAACTATAATCACACTAATTTAAATTACCTCTTAAAATGACTTAAGTTTGGTTTAAAAATATTTTTCGATATTTTAACTTTTAATTTTTTATTATCTTTTTAATATCTTAAAAATATATAAATTATTAATTAATATAGATATTAAATATATTTTATGTATTTTTACGACATTAAACAACAAAAGTGTGATGATAGCCCGAGGTAAATGACTTCGGACGAGCTAAACTACTTTGGATGAATGACCTCAAGGGGCCTTAAACACCACTTGAAATGTGATGAGCTTAGATGAGGTCTAGCTCGTCCCTTTTATACTAGCTTTATAGTAACTCCATACATACTCAAATTTTGTATCAGAGATTTTTGCGATGATTGACATATATGATCCTAGTTTTCTACAAGAAAAAACGCATGAACACCCTTTTGAAGGTTATAAATACCCTTAAGGGTCATTCTTTAAAGGTAATTGAAACCGATCTCAAACCTTGTCTTTGTTTCTTTCCAAATAGACTTGATTATTGCTCATTTTGGCATCAGAGTGTTTACTCCAAGAACCAACCTCGAGGCTTTGCAGGTTAACCGAAGAGAAGATCTAAACAAGAGAAGACTTTGAAGTTCTTTGCAACGACAAAAAGAAAACTTGCTAAAGCAACAACCCAACATTTTCCAATAAAGCCTTAGCCCGGCTAGGTCAATTCCATGTTGGGCAACAACTATTCGATAGAGCCATGTAACTCTAAAAGTCTCAATCTCTAGCTATTATAGTGATTAGTGATTGATCCATGTGGTACCATTACTAACTCACTCACTTTTGGTAGTTGGAAAGACACGATAGAATGTTGGAGATTGGCTATAAGGTGAGCTTTCTAATTGAAAAAGAATGCTAGGCATTGGCAAGAATTGGAGATTCAAACTCGCCACGTTTATGAGGGTCCAGTAACCTTGTCATTATCATTTTTTTTTTGTGTTATTAAAATTAAAATAATTAAAATTAACAATTAAAAATCAAAGTTAAAAAACAAAAATCATGAACTTTTTTACTTTTTTCAGCCTTTGAAATTGACAACTTATTAAGTATGAATTATGAAAATTGAAAACCAAAAGTAAAAATTTTTTTAAGTTAGCAATTTTTTAATTTTAATTTAGTAAGATGTAATTTTTAA